GCATGTATGTTTAATTATTTGTGAGAGAATTAATGTTTTAAATACTTTTTTTATAACCTTTCTTTTAAAATTTAATTACTGAATTTTTTTTTTTTTAGCTCAACCAATTTGTAACCTATCCCTACCAGTAACACCACTCGCACCAATTTTAGGCTCTTTTGGCGCTATGATGAGGTTTTTTCAATGTTTGAGACGTTATTATGATACTAATGCAATAATACATCTCGGAAATGCGGGCAAATACGCTTCTATGGCAATTTCTGTAATGATGATCTTTTATTGGAGATATACAGGTTTATATTAATACTTGTCAATATTTAATTTTTGTACTTTATTTTGAGCTTTCTAAAACATTCCAAAAAATTCTTTTTTACAAAACAGTTGCTTATTACGCAGATGATTATAATAAGGTCCTTATGTCTAAAATTATTTATATAATTATTCAAGTTGTTTCTGCAGTTTATGCAAATTTTTGGGACATAACTCAAGATTGGGCATTATTAAAACTCGATAGTTCTAATTTTTTGTTAAGAGATGAATTAGGTTACAAACATAAATGGATTTACTATTTTGGAATGTGTAACAACACATTTTTTAGATTTACTTGGATTTTTTACTTTGTATCTGATAGTTTTTTGGTTCGTTTTCTTATTGCCTTTGGAGAAATGCTTAGGTAAACAACCTTTAATTTTTTGTCTTGATCAATACTTTATTATAAAATTAGTTATTTATATATTTTTAAATGTATAGACGTTGGCAATGGGATATCTTCCGTATTGAAAATGAACATGTAACGAATTGCCGAGCAGGTCGTGCAATCAAAGAATTAGAGTTACCAACAATTTTCGATCCAAGCTTAGCAAGTCCAACTAGCACTGTAAAAATTAAAAAAAGTTCATTATTACCAAAAGTAAATAGAAAACAAACATGGAGAGATTTTGAACCAAAATTAGATAAAGATGAAGCTGATTACGTTCAAGAAGATGATGATGATTATGAAGAAGATGATGTCAATGATAATTTTGATGAGAACGATAATGAAGAAAAAGGGAACCTAGATAGTGTTATAAAAGACAATTTAGATTATGAAAAAAAACAAGAAGAAGGGGGAAAGGATGATAAGAATGATAATATAGAATCCCGTAAAAAATTAAAAATAATAACTGAACACATTGAAATTTCTATTAATTGATTTGTTTGTAGTTAATTGTAAAATATATATAAACATACACTGTTAAATTTTAATTATAACATTTATGTTTAATAATAGTCAAGTCTTTAATATTTATTATTGGCTTGATTGAGTTTGTTTATTATTGTAACTGAAAAAATAAAATTAATACATTTCTAAATTTACTAACAAAAAAAATTCAATTTTTTGTTAAAATTTTAGCGCAGCTTCTATTTTGATAGATGATTTAAATTTTTTCAAACCTTGAGTGAAGAAATCTTAACAACACCAGGCCAAATTTTTTTAAATATATGTAGTTTCAAATAAAAAAAGGTTCACCAGATAGCTTGTGGTTGTCGAAATTGACAGTGCATACCAGTCACGTGATTTTCGATGTCTATAAAAAAATTTATTTACGTTAGGGTTTGGGTCAGGGTTTAGGTTAGAGTTTGGGTTTGAGAACTATAGTATATTAAAATTGCACAAGGAAAATTTTTGTTAGGACCAAAAAGGATTACTAGTCCATATTTCGTGATAAACGTAAATGAACATTTGTTTTCTTTACAGTTTACATTACAGCTGATCTCAGTTTTTAATTGGCTAACTGACATCGGAAAATCATGTGTACGGAAAATCGATCCTATATCTTCGTTCAATTTTTCATTTCGCTAAGTCGTTGGAATAAGTCATGGGTTTGCAGTGTCAGTATAGCAAAACAATCATTTTTGATACACCTGCACCTACTTTTTTGATGCTGATTAACATGCAGATCCTAGTAAAATAAAATTTTTAAAATCTTTGAGCGAAGATAACTTGACAACTACCTGCTTAAATCTGATAAAACTTTATATTTGAATTCTATGGATCCATAGAATTCAAATAAAAAAAAATCATTGAATTTAGCCATGTGACTATCGAGATATCTTCGCTCAAAATTAGAGAGCCTATTAAAATAGAAGCTGCACCAAATTTCTCCCAAAGTTGAGCAAAGATATCTCGATACAAATGCAATAACCAATTTTTTATTTGAATTCTATGGATTCGTAGAATTCAAATTAAAAAAATTCATCAAATTTGGCCATGTGGTTGTCGAGATATCTTCACTCAAAATTAAAGAGCCTATCAAAATAGAAGCTGCGCCAAATTTCTCTTAACTTTGAGCAAAGATATCTCAATAATGGTCTGTTCAAATTCGATAAAAGTTTTTTTTTTCGATTCTGTGGATTCATAAAATTTAAATAAAAAAAAGCTTATTGCATTTAGTCAAGTGGGTGTCGAGATATCTTCGCTCAAAGTTAGAAAGAAAATTTGGCATAAATACGCATTTTGATTTTTTTTGAGCGAAGATATCTCGACAAACACTTGATTAAATGCGATTAAAATTTTTTTATTTGGATTTTATGAATCTATAGAATTGAAAGAAAAAAAGGTTTATCAAATTTGGACAGACTGTTATCGAGATATCTTAGCTCAAAGTTAGAGAGAAATTTGGCGCAGCTTCTATTTAATAGGCTCTCTAATTTTGAGCGAAGATATCTCGATAATCACATGGCTAAATTCGATGAATTTTTTTTATTTGAATTCTATAAATCCATAGAATTCAAATAAAAATGATCTTCGCTCAAGTTAAGAGAAATTTGGCACAGCTTCTATTTTGGCCGCACAAAAAATACGTGGCAGATCCTCGATTTTGATTGGCTAACAGCCGAGGATCTTCAAAATTTTGGTCCGGATTACATAATTGTTTCCTAATTTCCGGCCGGATCAACTTTTTAATTTTTTCATTACAAAAATAAGAATATTTAAAAATAAGCCCGCATTATAGTAAAATTGGCCCAGGAACAATTTTCATTTAATGGGCGGCACAATTTCATTAGTAAAATTATGAGTAATACCAGCCTAATGTTTTGATCATCACTTTAGCCAATCAAAATCGAGGATCTGCCGCGCATTTTTTGTGCGGCACCTAGGCTCAATTATTTTGATATTACAGCTGATTTGAAAATTAGTAGGACACATAATGAATTTTTATGATGATTATATAATATATCGGCCTAAAAATTGTATTATCGAAAAACTACACTGTTATTATCGAAAAATAATTACCGAAATTTGGATGATCATCACAAAATTCATCATGTGTCCCACTGATTTTCAATTCAGCTGTAACCATAGCTGCCGCAACAAATTTGGACCAGCATATCCTCGATTTTGATTGGCTAAGAGTGACAATAAAAAGATTAGGCTGGGAATTACTCATAATTTTACTAATAAAATCATAGCTGTCTATTAAATGAAAATTGTTCCTGGGCCAATTTTTCTATAATGCAGGCTTATTTTTTAAGCATTTCTATTTTTGTAATAAAAAATTAAAAAGTTAATTCCAGCCGAAAATTAGTAACCAATTTTATAATGTGTGCCAAAATTTTGAAGATCCTCAGTCGTTAGCCAATCAAAATTGAGAATCTGCCAGTCCAAATTTGTTGTGGCAGCTATGGTTAATTATTTTGATAGACTCTAATACATATCTGAGGTTGTAGTGCTTAAAGTTTGTTAATGTTAAGGTAAGAGTTGAAGTTAGTGGTCAGAAAAGTAAGTTTATATAGTAAATTTGCCCAATGAAAACATTTTGTTAGAGCACTAAAGGTGTTTCTTATACAGTTTTTCTGATTTTTGTCAAAACAAATGCTTTCTGTTTGTGTTATGTTATACCTAATTGTAAAATCTGATTTGCAATTAAGCAATATGCCACAGTTGCGCCACAAACCTGATACTCATTTCAGATATGCCTATCTAATTTTGAGCAAAAATATTTCAACAATAGTGCTCAGCAAATTCAAACTTTTTTTTAACACTCAAATACATGTGATGATCTGAATTTTAAATCAATACAGCAATACTATATTACTGTATTTTCGCATTACCATATTGCTGTATTGATTTAAAAGTCAGATCGTCACATGTATTTGAGTGTCATAAAAAAGTTTGATTTTGCCGAGCACTACTCAACAACCACATAGCTAAATTTGATGAATTTTTTTTTATTTGAATTCTATGAATTTATAAAATTTAAACATTAAGTTTTATCAGGTTCGAGCAGTAGTTGTCGAGTTATCTTCGCTCAAATATTTTAAAATTTTTATTTTTACCAGGATCTGCATGTCGATCAGCATCAAAAAAAGTAGGTTTAGGTGTATCAAAAATGAAGATTTTGCACCAGTATATTCCTTGCTTTGCTAGGAAAATCTCCAGGCATTTCTAATTCACATGATTCTTAAACCAACTTAGCTTCGATCGTGTACAGTATAAATAGTGATTAAGGTCTAATGGTTTAAATCGATAAACTAACACACATAATTACAGGTTATAAGGTTTCTTTTTATTAACATAAATAAATCAATACATCATAATACATACTATAATAATACTAAATACTATTGACAACTATTATTCTTTTCATAAACTAAAATGCCTTGTATATCTTCAATTCGTATGGGGTTTTTATCCCTTGCTTGAGGTTTCACTATGCTACAAACTAACCAAAATAAGAAATACATAAAATATCAATAATACCAGTATGATCACATGAAATATGGAGAGATAGTACTGTTTAACTTTTTGGTGTACTATATTTTTTTCTGATTTAGAAGGTATTATGATAATCATTTTTCTTATTTTAGAAAATATCATATATGTTGAAATTTTGATGATATATATGATTGTATTTTTGATTATTGTATTGATATTATATTTATGTAGTAATTTACAAATAGTTATTACTACATTTTTGTGATTGCTAATATATTATAACTAAATCAAGTATAGAGTGGAATGATTAAATAGCGCATGTCTTTAATACTCCAAAAAGATTTTATAACTAATATATTTTGTTTTTTGAAAATTAATTTTAGGTTTTCATTCTTTGCAACACTTACTTTAAAAATCGATATTTATCAAATAAAACTAACTTATCTACATGCATGTATTATCGAAATAGCAAATTTGTAAGCTCTATAAATTTTTTATAGTAATACAATAACTATAACAATTTCAATACTATTATCTAAACCAATTATTTGAAAATATTATATACTATTTTTTATTGCCAACTATTATTTAAAAATATTATATATTAATCCTTTATTGCTAATTATTATTTAGACCAATTGTTAGAAGATATATTAAACTGATATATAATATATTCTTTAAATCATTTGTTTATTAGCTTATTTTATTTATATTTAATTGGTTTAAAGCTAACAGTTTATTATTTAGCTATTATCCAAACTGATTATTTAAAGAAATTATATATTAGCCTTTTATTTTTAACTATTACCTAGACTAATTATTTAAAGATATTATACAGTGTCTGACAAAAGTTTCTCCACACCTATATCTCCTTATGGAAAGGTGCTACGATCTTGAAACTTTCAAAAAAGTTAATACCTACATAGTTTAGATTGTGTATATGTTTTGAAGTTTTTATAATTACTAGAAAAAAATTTGGATAAAAGCTAAAGTTTGGACATTTTTCGTTCCAAAAAAATTAAAAAATTAATTTAATTCAAATATATTGTTAAGGCTTAAAGCTAAAACTTCTAAAAATCAATATATTAAAACTCATTGATTTCTGTAATAGTGGCAAAAAATTTAATTCGATTTGATGAGATAGTTATTGAGAAATTAATTTTTAAAGTTTTGAGTCTTATTTTTGATTTGTTGATACCTAACTCTTTTTGTATTGCAAATGTTTTTTACCAATATCTTGTGATTCAACAGTCCAAATTTGATGATTTTGATATCATTAAAATTGTCTTATTGAGACAATTCGAATAATACCAAAATCATTAAATTTGTAGATATCAAAATAGTTTCAATTGAAAAAACTATTACTTTGTAATTTTTAAAAATAAAAATAAAATTTTAAAAATTAATTTCTCAAGGATTAACTCATCAAATCAAGCCAAATTTTTCATGATCACAACAGAAATCATTGCATTTTAAATACTAATTATTAAAAT